CACCCACACCCACACCCACACCCACACCCATTATGTTAAACATATAATACTTGATTTAGCTCGTGTACATGCTGAAGTTTATTCAATAAGTAGTCCATTAGTATTTATTGTTTTATCATGTATATTATCAACATTAGTTAATGAATTATCGAAATTATATTCTAAGATAAATCAATTTAGTAATGCTGGTGGTATGCAAGCATGTTTAGCTTTAAATGCTTTGCAGAAATCTTTTGAACGTTGTATGGACAGTGATACATCAAATAAATTAAAAGAAATTATATCAAAAATTCCCGATGCTGCTGAACATATGGAATCAAAAGGTTTAACAGATATGTTAAATATTTTTTTAAAACAAATGGAACCATATTTAAATGCTTTTCAAGATGTTCAACAACAACAAACTGAATAAATTTTCTATGATTTTCTTTCTTTTTTTTTTGTTAGATTGATTAAATATGATGATTATTGATGATAATTAATCTTTCGTGGTTTGTCTGTTCTTTTATTTCGAGGGTGAGGGTGATGGGAAAGAGAAGATAATCACCCTCACACCCCTCACACCGACACCCCACACCCTCCGAATTTAACAACACTTGCTCAAAAATATTTAGCTTCTCCTGGTACCAGTATTAAATCTGAATCAGCATTTAGTGCATCCGCTTATTATGCTCGAAAACAACGTGCTCAACTTTCTTCTGACAATCTTAGCTACTCCGTTTTTCTCAAGGATAAAGTATCAAATCAATTCAGCTAGGAATTCTATAATTGTTTAATATATTACAAATTTGTTAGTTAATGTTTTTCAAAGACTTTTGTTAGTTTTTTCATATGACAGTTGTTATAAACATATTTTTCTTGTATTTCGGAAAATAAATGAAAGTTAAAAATTGATTATAGATTATAAAAGAAAAGAATAGTTATCTCTTGAAATTATTTCATCTTTATCTGTACTCTACTTTTATACTCAAGTCTGAAAGTACGATGTAGCTATATTCAATATCGCATCTGTCATACAAAGAATTGATCATCATTATTTGTTCTCGTTTTGATTGTTGATGTAATGTTTCTTGATCTTACTCTCAAAGATAATTCATGCGTATGTATAGCATCCAACTATATTTTATTGAACTTTCTTGAAAATTATATATACTATATGAATCAGCAAAAAAGGCGTAACGTACAGATTTAACTTCTTGGTTTTGAAGGTTCTGACCACTAGATCATCAATGCTGTTTCAACAATGAGTTCCTATATCTAAGTTACAATAAATAATACTCTACTCGGGCGATGCAATAAACCAATTGTTTTAGATAAACAGACTTTCTCTACTGAGCAATATAATTACGCTGCATATTGCATCAGCTAACCAAACTACATTTTACAAAGTTTACAGAGGGAAAAAATTTACCCATATTGTAGTTTGAAAAGCTCGCAATGCTCTTAACATTATAAACTATGTTTTGTATAAACGATAAAAACCGAATGTAATGGAATTTCTACGCGTTCTTTTCCTTGACAAATGAACGGTGAGAATTCTGGAAATTACGATTTGAATCCTCTACTATGTCTTTACTTTGCGGGCCAGTGCAGGACTTTGAATAAAAGTTTTATGCTAAACGTTACTCTTTCTGATGAACTGCGAACAGTTCTGCCTTCTATTATACGAACCCGAAACCGAACCCTAAGACCGAACCCGAACCTGAACCCGAACCCTAAGACCGAACGCGAACCCGAACCCGAGCCCGAGCCCGAACTCTCAAGACCGGACCCGAATCCGAACTCTCAAAACCGACCCCGAACCGTTCGGTCCGAACTACGAACTACAGTTCGGGTTCGGTGCATGCCTAATGACGAGAAAAGTCGCATAATAAATATATATCATTGGGTAATGTCTAAAATAGGCTTGATAGTACTAGCGTTAATGGAGAATTCGAAGCACTATCGTTCGATAATAGCTTCAAGTGCAACGGTGATTGCAGTGGGTTAGAGCGTATTTTACTAGTACTCTGATCACACAGACAGGAAACATCAGTAGTCTCTCTCAGCCTTTTTTCCACCCAATATTCTACACTCATTCCTCAAATAGATTGACTTGTTTTCTGTACTCTCGACTACTATTATTGCTCGCATGTATTTTTTCATTTTTCAGTGTCATGCATTTTTGTGTTTGTTGTTTCTCTTCTTGAAAGTTTCAAAGTCACAAAATCGAATCAATACCACCATTGTGAGCGACAATGACTCATTTTTTCCATCAGATGAGGGAAGAAAAAAAATGAGAAAGCGGCAGATGAATAAGTGAATTTTCAACAAAAAGAAAGCCACTCTTTTCCGTCAATAATGGTAAAAATATCTTACTTTTAAACTCACATGACGTTGTAGGTATATTCCAATTAATAAAAGACATCTATTGAATTTAGTAAATAGTGAGTAAAGAAAACTGCTACGAATATCATAGTAGATTTTAAACAAAAATCATATATTATTTTATTCAAGCTTTCGATAAGATACTCTTATCATCTTCAGGAATAACAAAAGACAAAAAAAACGCTACATATGTATAGAAATTATGTTAATTGATAGATTAATTGAGAGAAAATTGATGAATAATAATTCGCGAATTATTATGTTCGTAGAACATATCCGGGCCCCCAAAACATGCCAAGAGGCAATTTTAATTGTTCTATCCAAAAATATTTAATTTAAATTTTACATCATTTAAGGACTTATGTTGCATTTGATGAGTGAATATACTTTCTTTAATCGTTCTTCTTCTCCAATTCGATTCGAGGGATAAGTTTTCAGATCCTATAAAATCGAATGTGTGGTTTTCTGTGTTAGCGTGTTTTGCAACATTAGATGATTTGGTGACTTTTCTTACATCGACTTCGTGTTCTTTCATTCGAGTTTGTTTCATTCTGCTTGTTTCACCTATATAGCATTTATTACAGTTCAAGCAAGATATTTTGTAAATAAGATTTTTATTTCTCTTTGAGTCATCTAGTCCTTTTTGGAAAGGCAGAAATAAGCTCTTAATTGTAAATGTTTTCCTAAAGCATACATTAATCTTAATGAGTGGTAATAGTTTCTTGCATAATTGCTTAATTCGATGTGCTAATATGGTTGATTCGTGTCCATAGTAGGC